TTTACGACATTGTTCAACTTCTCCTTTAACTCCAGCTAAATGTTGTTTAAATTGATTAATACCACCACTCACAAATACTTTAGCATAATATAAACAAATTAATTTAGTTTTTTTACATCCAACACTAAGTTCAAAAGCTTCTCTATAATGACCTTATGTTAAATCTGTTTTTCCTCTACTACCACTTGACATGGAAATTAAAGGTTGAGATGATTGGGCTATTGAAGGATCACTGCTTGAAGTACTACCATCACGTGAAGACATTTTAATACTTGACATAATTTATAAAAAGGAATATAATTTCAAGCCAACTCACTTTGCAATCCATTCATTAGATTAACAATGACAACCTCATTGTTAATCACACATAACAGAAAAAGACTACTCAGTTGATGCTCTAGGAAATTAACAATGACAGCCCTATGGTTTTCATTCAATGCAATTGACACAATACAGATTCAACATAATACACTGAATATAGGCACAATACAAATTCACTAATGTGGCACATATTCAACACAATGCTCTAGGAAATTAACAAACTAGCAACATTTTTTGGCATGTAATTCAACACAATTGTAACAAACTAATAATCTAATTCCACACAATACAGACACCTCCTCACAGTGCACTTTTCACTACCGAATCATGGTAACACCGTAACAACATTAAAAGAATCATAGTAATAACTAATAAGCATCAAATCATGGTAACAACATTCTAGAGTTCATCATCGATTAACATTAAAAACTACAAATAACAAAGTTCTCATTTTTTTCACAGAAGTTAAAATCGGACTGCAAGAAAAAAAAAGAAGAAATTGATGCAGAAATCAGGCTAAAGAAACATACCAAAAGCATATCCTAACAGATTAATGTTATTGGTGCACATTTTGTTTCCTTAAACAAGATTATTCATTTATATTGGGTATTTAGGTGTTCACTATCAACCTCATTCAAGCTAAAAACCCTGGACAAAAACTAATCTATAAAGATCAAGATTCAAGCTTTAACCATGTAATTAATAGCTTTTGATCAAACGAGCAAAACCCAGAATGTGTTTTCAATTTAACAATCCTTATTTCCATGAAATAAAGCACATGTTTTCAATGTAACAATCCTTATGCTCACACACACTCTTTTATGCTTCAAAAGTCCCAAGTCTAAGAGTGATACAAGACAAAAAGAATGAAAGAAAGAGTAGTTGCAATACTAACAGGAAAAGGCAGTCGGTGCAATAGGCCAGGACGTGAAGGTTGAAGGAAGAGAAGAGGCAGTGGCAAAAAGGTTACTGACTGAACACAAGTTAGATAAAAAGATGTGTATGTACATCATAGAATGAGAGTACAAAAAATGTTGCATTTTAGAAGCAGATTCAAACCTTTTTCATAAAGAAACAACAGTGATCAATGGTCAAGACGTCCTCTACGCCTCTGCTCCTCAGTTGGGTTTCAAAGAGTTGAGTTAATTAGGTTTGTAAATTGTAACTAATATTGCTTTATTCTTCTTCACTCTTTATTCTTAAGTGTTTTGGCCTTTCAAAAGGCCAAAACGACATCGTTTAATGACTATCATTATAATAAAAATTAATCAGGTCTGACCCGGGTTTGACTTACTAGACCAGGTCCCGGGTCGACCAGTCGGGTTTCCCCAGGCCAATTCCTAAGCGGGTTTTTGCCTCCACCCGGACTAGTCCCAAGCCCGAGTCAGCCAGGTCCCAGGTCGATTCACCGAGCCTGTTCGGGTTTTAAAACTCTAGGAAAATGAGAAGAAAATAGGCCCTTATAGGGAGTTGAGATTATGAGATGATTGACGTAGATTTAGGGATGGGAAAATATGTTATTGTGTTATTGGCTATTAAGCTTATTTTTTGTTATTGGTTATTGCTGGGGAGAAAGGAGGACAATGGTTGACGATTAGGTTTAGAAATAATAGGTCTATGGTTTTTTATGCATTATTTTTGGGAGAGTATATCAATTTGAGAGATTTTTTTTTTGTATTTTCTTTTAGTTTTTTTTTTTTATTAATGGCCTCCATAAAATTCCTCCTCTCTTTATATGTGGTACAACCACTTATTTATAGGAAAAATAATTTGTCATTTTCTTCCCAATTGTTTGGTCCTCAAATAACTAAAAAAACTCACTTTGGTCCTTAATTTTTTTCCTTTGCATTTATAGTCTCCCTATCTAAATATTTTTTTGTTTTTTGTTTCTATTGTGATATTTTTGAAAAAACACAACATTAATGTCAACTCAATAAAATTGATTAATAATTTTGAACTGAGTGCGTCAAAAATAAATTTTTTAATTTTGAACTTTTTTGAAAAGACGCTAAAAATCCTATAAAAAAACAAAGCAAACACATAAAATATATATATATATATATATATATATTATTTTTTTTATTTTGATACTTTTGTATTTTTTTCAATAAGAAAAAAAATAAAAAAATCAGGTTACGACACTTGTCATTCACACTCGCAAAGGTTGCTCTCCAATAATAGCACAACCCCAAATGGCACTCTACCTATCTTATGACTTCGCTATCCCATGATAGCTCACCACCACTCAATGTCCTTTTCTGTTCTTTGAGTGGGATGACTTTTCTATGAAAGTCTCCCATAAAGGTTCATTTGGTTTATTAACAAAGTTAAAGAACTAAGGGAAAGATTCAATGCTTTTAATTATAGTACAACATTGCCTAAAAACCTTGATTATAAGTTCCTCATCCAACATTTGAAAAACTTATTGAATGTAGATAGAATGGTTCATCCATTAAGGTGGAGTCCAGCTTGACTTAAATTGTAATATCTGAATACTTCATTTACAAAACCTTATAAAGAAAACAAGTACCTAAACTTATACATGTAAATAAGGGTTATAATTTAAAAAAATTCCCCATTATGCTTATTAGTGACCTTTGAAACATGGTTACTATGTTTTGGTAACGAGACCATACAATCTTCTAGTTGTTGGATATTGGCCTTATCCATTTGGTTAAGAGTTACCATGCTTTGAGGACTTCTATCTTCCCTCTTTCTAGAAAGGGAAGGTAGAGAAGCATTGATTCTAGATCATAGGCCAATCCTAATGGCCTATGATTTCTGATGAGCACCGTCATTTTTTAATGTTAAGGTAAAATCTCTTTTGGGGAATGCTTTCATTTTTCTTTTTTTATAGAAGTCATTCAAAATCTTTTAAAGAAAAAGAAGAAAAACCAAGACGAAAATTATGCAAGAAACTAAGAAGATAAAGATTTGGTTTACCTAAACAAGAAAAATTTATATATGATAAAAATATATTGTTCTTATGTCTTAAACCTCCTAAGTTAAGGAAACAGAGATATTTTAGTAGAAGTAAAAATCACAATTTAAAGTAAATGAAGGTTTTTATATATGAGCAACCCTTCTTCTTCGATAATAAATAAAGGATAGATGGCATCTCATCATAACTATAAAAAGGCTAAAAGCCAACAAACATTCATTGCACACTGTTAAGTGATCTTCCTAAGATATTTGCTTCCTCTTCCCTTTGAAATCATTTCAAATCACCAAAGGCTTAAATGTCTCTTCCCAAAGGAAGATAAGACGTATCTTGATTTATAGTCTCTTAAAACACATCTTAATCCTTTATATGTGATACATATTAAAGGAGGCTTGGGGGTATCTGATAAGGTAATTATTTTTTAAGTATCCTTTTTAGACTTGAAAAAAGTTTATAACAATGTAGGTTTGACAGTATTCAATACCCTAAAACAACAAGGTTTAGTAATCAACTAAATTTAATGTAAATTGGGTTTGATGACATATTAGATCCAAAACGATATAGGCCTGACAAATTGCTATACCCAATATATTTGAGTTCAACAAATCTATTGAACCTAAAAAAACATAGGTCTAACATTATGATAGATCTAAAATACTTAGGTTCAACGATTAGTCAAACCCAAGAAAACATGTGTCTAGCAAGATATCAAACCTAACATATTTGGATTCAACTATTAATTGAACCTAAAAAAACATAGGTTTGACAAGATTCTGGACCCATCATACCTGGGTTTAATTGTTAGCTACCCAAGAAAACATCAGTCTAGCAAGATACTAAACCTAACATATTTAGGTTCAATAGTTAGTTGAACGTAAGAAAATATGGATCTGACAAAATATAAAATCTAATATTTTTGGGTTCATCAATCAACTAAACACAAGACAATATACCAAATCCTAGATGAACACCTAAACTGAAAGTGTTATGAGTTTAATAAATCGTCCTGTCTTTTAACCTAAGTTGAGTTACATCTTAAGTTTTAAGTATCTAAAACTAAAAATCCTACTACTAGAACAATTATACAAATTATATATATCTAAGGTAATCATCTCCTTACACTTATAGATGTACAAAATGTATCTTAAAGGATCTACTATACTTACTAACTCAATACCACACTTATTAACTCAATAATAATATGTAAATGATATTTGTTCTCTATTAATACCACCAAAAGCTAAGAGGTTTCTCAGTCCCTGGATTTTTGAATCCTCTCAATTGAGATTGTTTTTACATGTATTTAAAAATTTTAGCATTAATTTGGTGTTTTCTAAGATTACAAGAAAAAAATATTTGCAACATTTTTATTAACCATTATCTATAACACAACTGAATAACTTAAAACATAGAAATGCATTAAGCTGCTATTTTCAAAGTCTAAAAAATTACACACCACTTGTATCTTTTATTTGGAAAGCTAATTATTAAAAAAAAACAAAAAAAAATCTCAACCAACCATATCCATCAAAATTTACCCTCAAACTTATCCTCTCAACTTCTGGGCCGGATAATATACCCCAAAGCCATTGTGATTTTTATTTCTTCATTTCTTTTCTTCAAGCAATGAACCAGAGCTTTCACTATAGTGTAAACCACTCACACAATTTCTGAAACATATTGCATAAACTCATCATCGTTTTCAAGACCAGTCATTGTGTCAGGTGACAAAACAACCTCAAGACTCCAGCCGGTGGCGGCAATTCACAGCCATACGAAATGTCGTCATTTTGGAGGGCGATAATTTCCTCGCACGTGTCACGGATCTCCACAGCTGCGCGCAAAGGGACTGAAACGATGAAATTTCTGCCGTTTCGTTGTTCTTTAAGAAAAGTGGATCTACTTTGCCGTTACTTAAACCGTTATTCCCGTTACTTTCTCCGTTAACGATTTTCCAACTGTCGTTACTTTGCCTTCCGAAAATCTCTGCCGAATTGGACCTAAAATTACTGTTGTTAGCTCTCAACTTGAGCTTGAGAATTGCATCTCTGCTAAAATGGAAAATTCTCTCTCGCAATGGCTCGTCACCAGAAAATGTCACCTTAGGTCCACCGGGGGGGAATTTAAGCACCGCCGGTGAGTTAAGCATGGTGTTGCGGGAAAAGTCTGGAGATTTAGAGATTTTTTTAGATCCTTTGCAGATTTCAGCGAAGGTATTGAAGAAGTTCCAGAATGAAGTGCCATCAGTGACAGCATGATTTACAGTGCACCCAATGAATATGCCGTCTTTCAGTTCAGTGACCTGAACTGCCACCAGAGGTTTAGAATGACCCGAATAACTAAGGGTCTTGTCCATTGCGAAGAACCCTTTGAAGCATTCAGGGACGTGGGTTGGAGAAAGAATGGTGTGGATGGAGAGGTGTCTTGCTTTGGCTTGGATGAAATCAACGCCTGCATCGTTGCATACAATATGGACATGGCCACTAGGGTCAGTTTGGAGGCGGCCAGCAAGAGCAGGGAAGTGAGAAAGAGCGACGGAGAGGGAGTGTTTGAGGAATGTGATGAGGTCATTAATGGAGTATGGTGGATACGTGAGGAGGACACCCTTCTGGATGTATTGACAAGAGAGCATGGGGAGGTCTGAGACTGAAAGCTTTAGGGCTTTGATGGTTGAGGATTTTTGGTCTGGGTAGATAGTACATCTTGAGACGATAGAGGTATTGCAAGAAGAAGGCATTTTCTTCCTTTTTCCTTTTAAGGTTAATGATAGTGGACTGGACAGCTGAGTAGTGTGCGTGAGAGAATGAATGTGAGGAGATGTGGAGGGGTTTATATAGGGAGAGTGTAGGAGGAAGGATTCATGAACTTGAGGGTAGTTTCGTGACGATTGCTTCACCGCATATCCATTTGTTTATGGCCTTTCTATCAACAGGAGGCGTATGGGTGGGTGAGAGGAAAGAGAGGAGACATGGTGGGGCATGTCTTGGATTAGTTCAAGAAGGCATGCTATTTAAGAGGTTCACAATTCCTACCGAATATGAAGTAAACAATATTACATAATATCAATAAAAAAAAAAAACTCATTACAGTCACATTTAATGGTTTGGCATGGTGTTGATACTCAATTTTAGTGGTTTGGCATTATGTTGATATAGACGAGTAGAATAACTAGGCAAATAACTTATTTTTAATCTAATTATAAAATTAAATTTATTTGTTTTATATGAATATATATCAACTTCACGATAGAAAAAAAATGAGATTCAATATCAAGTGATGAAGATAGTAAAAATTTCAAATAAGAACGGGCTTTTCGGGCTGTGTTCTGGACTATAATGATTGAACTTGAATATAAAATTTACTCTTCGAGATCAATGTTTCCTGCAAAATAAATTTTTATTATAAAACATGAAACATTCTAATGTTTTAGTTAGAAATTATAGAAGAAGAAAATAATGTATATGAAGAGAAAATAAAATGAAGTTATAGGTAATGTATTTAATTGAATATTTATGTGATTTTGTATGTGAAACTTGAATTATTAAATGGTTGTTTGTGGTTTCTAAAATATTGAATGACTATTTGTGGTTACTGAAATTATTGAATAGTTATTTACAGTTCCTTTAAATGTTGAATGATTATTTATGTTTTCTCAAATTATTGAATAATTATTCGTTGTTCTTGAAATTGTTGAATGGTTTCTACTCATGTATGAAAGTCTATGGCCTAACCTTTTTACATGATGATTAAGATATTTATATACCTCTATCACATAAACTTATATCAAGAAATATGAAAGGTAGTGTTACAATTATAGGTACCATTATAGGTGGAGAATGGAGTCTATCATTGATAAAGAGGTTGATGCTTGGTTATAATGCTTACTATGCATGGTGGAGAGGTTGGTTCTTGGTTGTAATGCTTAAAAGCCTAAGGTTAATCAGAAGCACGTGAGGGGGATTCTAGCCATTTAGACTTAACACATATGGCTAGTAATTTTTTTTTTAATATTAGTTTTTTTCATGCACCATCATTTAAGAATCAATAAAGATAATTTTTCTAAGAATTAGATCCTCTTAGATAGTCACCTATTTATTCATTGACTTTTATTATTTTTAGTCATATTTCAAAATTTATAGGATTTAGATCTATTTTAAATCAATCAGTATAGATTATTAATTATTAATTTTCCTACTCTAATAATGAATGCTACTAAAAAAATCTTTAAAGAGTCTAAGCTATTCATGTTATATATAAAGTCAGAAATTGGATGTTGTAAATGTCAAAATGATTAGCTTTGATTAATGAATGATTATTTGTATTAATAAAGATTGATTATTTTATATTGTTAGTTTATCCAAATTAGTTAAAGAATGAATGAAGTTATCTTTTAGGATATAATGTGATTATTTATGTAATTAAATAGTTTGTTTGGATAAATTGTATAAAAAGTTCAAATACATTTTATCAAAATAAGATAAGTACAAGTTATTCAAATATAACTATTAGAGAAGTGTTTTTAAGAAATATGTTAGCATTTTGTTAAGAATGTAATAAATTAAAAATCTTGAAATAATATTTATTAAAGATTTTTATTGTTATCACATGGATGTATATATGAGAAAGGATAATCTGAAGCATTTAAGAAGAGCATCATTGGCAGTAGAACAAGAGTACCCAATTAGCTAAGGAGTTTTACAAAGTTTCGTAACATATACTTTCAGAGACATGTAGAGTGTGAAAAAAATTCTCAAAGAGAATTGTTCACTATAGAGTTGTTAAGCTTATAGGCTCGTAAAAGGAGTTCCTATATTAATTACTAACAATTAAATGTTCTAGTTAGGATTATAACAATTTAAAGATCATCAAATGTTTTGGCAAGCTACTATAATACAAAACAAATGAAATATTTGTCTTGATAAGTAAGGTAATATAGAAACAAAAGATTTTAGGTGAAAATACTCCTATTGTATTCTTCTAAACTAGTGAAAGTTATTTATCCTAGGTTTGGCTGCTTTAAAGGGCTTTTTATCTTTTGAAAAGTTTGTAATTAAATAACTTGTTCATTTAAATTTTTTCCACTTATATTTATTTAGCTACTAATATATTTTTACAAGGTGTTAGCAAATTGCTTCTTGATATATAGAGAACAAAAATGAGATTATGAAGGGGTATCAAAATAAAATCACTCATTCTAGAGTGAGATCTATTTTCCCTGATGAACATGTCAATTCTAATTTTACCGCCATTATTAAATGATAAGAACTATGTCTATTGAAAGATAGGGATGAAAGTTTTCCTTAAATTACTAGAAGAGAAACTCTAGCACTCAATTGAGCATGAATAGACCAAGCTTGAAAATCTTTTTAGCTACTGAACTAAAGATGAATCCACTGATTATAATTGAAATAAAAAAGGCTTGAATGTTATATTTATAGTAGTGTCTCGTGATGGACTTAAAATAATTTCCATGTGTGAGATAACTAAAAAAGCTTGAGATATTCTTGAAGTTATTCACAAGGAAACCAAGATGGTGAAAATTTTCTA